CCATTAACAGAGATCGTTATCAAAGGTTAGTTGGGAGGTTAATTTATTTATCTCACACCAGGCCTGATATTGCATACGCAGTAAGTGTTGTTAGTCAATTTATGCATTCTCCGAGTGAGGAACATATGGGTGCAGTTGAACGCATCCTACGATACCTAAAGTCCTCACCAGGTAGAGGTATCATGTTTTCCAAGAATGATCATTGCCGAATAGAGGGTTACTCCGATGCAGATTGGGCAGGCAACGTTATTGATCGTTGGTCCACATTTGGTTACTTTACATTTGTGGGAGGAAACTTAGTGACTTGGCGGAGTAAGAAACGGAAAGTGGTTGCTTTATCAAGTGCAGAGGCGGAATACAGAGGTATGGCAAAAGGAGTATGTGAACTATTATGGCTTTAGAGGTTACTTGGTGAACTTGGGTATCCTTCGAATTCAGCCTCAGATTTATTTTGTGATAATAAAGCAGCTATCGATATCTCACACAACCCAATTCAACATGATCGCACAAAACACGTGGAAGTTGACAGACACTTCATTAAGGAGAAGTTGGATGGGAATATTATTCAATTCCCGTTCGTAAAGTCAAAGGATCAATTAGCGGATATCTTAACTAAAGCTATTGCAAGTCAAGCGTTCTACAACTCTCTTGTCAAGTTGGGCATGAATGACATTTATGCATCAACTTGAGGAGGAGTGTTGGAGAGTTGACTTTTTGTAATTAGTTTAGTTACTTTTTTTGAGTCCTTATAATCAGATTGTAATTAGGTTATTTGATGTTTATTTCTTTCCTTGTAAATCACTCTTGTACATTATATATTTTCCTCCTTGGTGAGAAGAATGATATCAGAAAATTAAGCCCCAAAGATAAGCTCTAATTAGCAGTCTCCACCGCTGTATATACTAAGAGTTTTCATCTGGATAGTCATTACCATTTAGTTTTCCGTTGAATCCTCTCACCTCGTCCATAATTTATTTTGATTATTCATTAGGAGGAGACACTATACCACAGTGAATTGCGCCCAAAGCTATTAATTTCTTAATTTTGGGGCAAATTACATTCATGAGTTAGCTAGCTTGACACATAAACAGCAAACCACACATATCTTACAGTCATAAAACCACTTCTCTCAGGACCAATGGCCTTCTTATTTTCTGATACATAGAAGATGTGGGAAAGATTTCCAACAGAAACTTAACTGAACATACATCACAGTGCTCGCTATCACTAATCACAATCTTATTATGTTTTAAAAATGGACCAGCTTTTGCACGAATTCACTTCATGTTTCTCTTACTCATTGTAAAGAGTAACGTCTGGCCTTGGCTCAAAATCTTCATCAAATGATGACTGCTTCTCTTCTTTTGCTACAAATGACTTCTTGTCAGGGTAAGCCTGAGACTTAGGGAGAGAGTCAGTGTCTTTGGTGGAGTACTCTGCTTTGCTTTCACCATCATGGTACGATGAAACATTGGGCCTTGGCTCAAATTTCTCAGTCCCAACGAATGGTTTTTTCATGTTTTCATGGCAGTCATCGGCTTTCTTTTTTTGTGTTGAATCAGGAACAACACCAAGTAGGCCTCCAATTGCTTGGGGCATAGATTGCTCATTCATGACAGTTTTCCAGTATTCTCCTACACCTCCTCTTGATTCAATAGTTTTAGCAAACTGATCCAAAAGAGAGAGAGAAACACGAACCAAAATAATAATAAGGCTTGTTCTTTCTGTCACATGACACCACATACAACACAATTAGGGTAGGAAAGATGTTATTAGCGTTATAAAGTTGATTCAAATCTTCAGATAAATAGAAATTTAACGGAGAAATATTTGGAACTTTTGTTTGGAAATTATAACGTATATAAAATGCTTATGTTCTCAAATTGTGATAATTGATTAGTTAGATTCTTGTTAGAATCTGTCGTATGGATTCACAGTTAAACAATATAAGTTGGCAAGAAAATATTACACTATTTTGTAGTAAAAGAGCATTTTCAACGTAAATATGATAGGAGGGCTCAGTCTGTCATTCCCATTCATCAAGTTCTTGGCTTAAAAAATTTGGTACGTAACATAGTTTAAGCAACAACATTAAGGATAGTACATATGCTTAACAAAAGAAGAGAGAAGGGAGCTAAGGTGGCACAAAGGGACTTCATGTTTGAATTGTATTCAAAGGAAATGCTTGTAGTCGTACGTTTAATATTAATGTTACGAAAACTCAGACTACTTACAGATAATATGGGAGGAGAGTAATGTCTCGACGCAGAACATGGCAATTTTTCAGTTGGGGTTGGTGATGACAACGATTCTGAATAAAATATCATGGTAATTCCCACCAGATAAATGATTTTCACACTTACAAGAAATGAACGGTGGGCGTAACTAGGGGCCCTAAGATTTTGAAGGCTTCCAATAGATATGTTTCTCAATCAAGTAGAGTCTGCGACAGTCATTTATTTTGTGAATGAATGTGACAGGTTTCCTCATGTGATATGACTCCGACATGATATCTAATCATGATTTGATATGTTTGCGAGCTTCCTGTTTCTTATTTAAAAAAACACTTGGACTTTTAACATTGAGATATCTTAAGTTCAAATTCTGAATCTATTGCTATTTAGAAATAATGGTCCTCACCTCTTTAGATGAGAGTAGATGTGTTTCGTAATCATTAACAAAGAGTTAATTTCGTCTAATCTTTCTTCATTTAGCTTGAAAAAAGCAATATTCAAGTTGGAAAATTATCAAACAAATGATGTCAAATGTTAGGGGTGAATATCCTAATCCAAATGAGCTTTATGTTGGAAACAATTTTCTACTTAACGTCAGAGGTTATTATGAACTTCTTGATTTTTTTTTTCTTTTAGAGATGGGGGGTTTAAAATGTTTGATAAATAAGAGTGATTTATGCAAAACTTTTTTGACATTTTAATTTTTACACACCTTCCTAATTTTAGCTCTTTAATCAAAATTGAAAACTTCATTTTTATTCCCCCTTATAGAGAGACAAATTCTGGATTAGTTGGCAACAATCCCAAACATCCTCTTCAATGTCCATGTTTATCATTTAGAAAAATATTTAAACATGGTTCTCTATTTGAAATAGAAATGGTTTTTTTAACATCCACTAAGACCATCTCCAATGGTTGGGCTAAAAGCCAAATTTTTTAGCCCGAAAAATTTAGCTTTTAGCCCAGAAACAGTTTTACTGCTCCAACCGTTCTAGCCTAAAATTTTAGCCCGGGATTATTAAAGAATGAACTTAGGCTTTTTTTTTTGTTAAATTAATTTTTTTTAAAAAAAATAAATATTTAGACTATCGTAAATTAATTTTATGAACATTTTAATCTAAAAAAATTTAAATTCCGATAAATATTGGGTGGAGTCCACTCCGATTTCTGGGCTAAATTTTGGGGGGAATTTGGCATTGGTTTAACATTTAGCATTTAGCCCAAAATTTCCCCTTGGGTTGGAGTGGGTTTGGGGGGAAATTTTGGGGGTAATTTGGCTTTTAGCCCACCATTAGAGTTGGTCTAATGCATATATATATATATATATATATTTATTTATTCTTATATGTGACAATCTATTATTCATTACTGCTGCTATCAGCAGAGACCTTTACGGCGAACATAACTAGCAAAGCCCTTGAGCACCATATTACATGAACCTGGTTGCCAAATACAGGAAAAACTCTGAAATGTTGAGGAAGAAACTTCACCTTCATCTACCTCCTCAAATATCCCCATCTCCAACATTACATAAAGAAAGTTCTCTCTTGAAATTTTCTTCCACCGCCATCTCAGGCAATAGCTTCAATGCATCAATCGCATCACGGGCAACAATTGTATAGTTTTCAGCATTTACATTCTTGGAATGAACAACGAAGGCCTTAGAGATCTAAATGTCATCAACGATGTTGAAGAGCCTGCTTGAGTTTTGAAGAGGTTTATGGCTCGAGTTTTGACGGAGTCGAGGTTCAGCTGTTGCTGCACGACATCGTTCAGTCTCTTCATTGAAGAACACCTTCCATGGCTGCCATTTTTATTTCTTGAAAACTAGATTAGTGTGATGGATTTTTGAGTATATTTTTCTTTGATTACAAAAAACATACACGCTTATGTGGTAGTTTATGATTGATTGAGACAACCAATAGGAACGAAGGACATATGTGCTCTTAAATCTTTAACAGAGATTTAATAAAGAACGAAGAAAATTACATATTGGATCGGTATTGCTAACAGACTTGATTACAAGGTCATGAATAACAGCTTTTTCTACCATAGGAGCCATATTAAAACAAAGGTGTGGTGTCTCACCATATGGGCCAAAAAAAAAATCTATATGCTAAACTTATTACAAAAATGTTTATATTGCAACCCCAAGTCTTGTGAATTCTATTCCCCCCACTAGTCCAATCACTCGTATAACATTTTATTTTGGGACTTTTCTTCGTTCGATTTTTTGGGAGAACAACTACTATAATACAAGTAAACTGCAACTTTTAATGTTTTATGTTGTTATATTATGTAAATAAAAATTCACATATATTTTTTTATTATTTACATGAAACGCAATTATTGCGATGCGTCATGTAAGTGAAAGAAGAGGCTCCAAGAAGCAAAAGGGCTCACAATCACATGGAATGCATGGATATAAAAAAAACAAGAAAACAAAAACGCATGTGTCGATTGTTTAGTGGATAAGAACAACAATAATTATAACAAGACAAATTAAAGAGACAATAAGTGGATGGCCAACCGGCCAGCACTTGCAAGTCAATAATGCATTTGCCACAATTAAAAGGTGAAACTTAAAACTGTACAACTTTTTTTTCGCTAATTATTGAGTATTTAGACTATGATATAATGGTATGAAAGTTATCTATTTAAGTTATATTTTGTGAACTATATAATGTGACGATTAATAATTTAATTATTACTTAAGTATAAGTATAGAGTAACGTACTTATTTTCTATTAGTGATACATAACATGATTTACAAATGTGATCTAAAAAGTTGATCTACACAGTGTGCGAGCTGCTGCAGAAAACCTATAGATTTTGTTCTCTTTCAGCACTTGTGTTGTGCTCTATCAAAATTAGTGGAAGAAATTAATGGTAAGCACTAGTAAGTTCAAGGGAAGGAACATGGAGACAGGACTTGTGCTCTTGATCCCCATACTTCATCTCCTACTGCTTGTCATGGTAACACTTCATTTCTCTCTCTACTAATTCTTATACTTTAAATTAGAAAAATCTCATGATACTGCAACAATGGCAATCTTACCAATTTGTTATATATTATGCAGTGTCCTCAGGGAATCGAAGGAAGAGACTTTATGGATCGAAGAATTCGTGCTAAGACAGATGGTGATAATGGCCATGAAACTACACATCATGACCATGCTCATCATGCTCATCCATCATCCCACATGCATCACATGGACCATTCCCTCATGATTTTCTTCACCTTGAAGGACCTAAAGCTGGGGAAAACAATGGCCATCTATTTTCCCAAAAGAAACCCTTCAAAATCTCCCCACTTGTTGCCAAGAGTAGAAGCTGAATTATTTCCCTTCTCCTCAAAACAACTCCACCACCTTCTTCAAGTTTTTTCCTTCTCTCAAGACTCTCCCCAAGCCAAAGCCATGGAAGATACTCTTAGACAATGTGAGACTGAACCCATCAAGGGAGAGATCAAGTCATGTGCTACTTCTTTAGAATCCATGCTTGACTTTGCACGCAGCATCTTCGGATTGGATAATACTTTCAGTGTTGTGTCCACTACCCATCTCACAAACTCATCCACCCATTTCCAGAACTACACTATTTTGGAAGAGCCTAAAGAGGTTTTAGTTCCCAAGATGGTGGCATGTCACACCATGCCTTACCCTTATGCGGTTTTCTACTGTCACAGCCAAGAAAGCATGAACAAGGTTTACAAGGTTTCATTAGGTGGTGAGGATGGAGATAGAGTGGATGCTGTTGCTGTTTGCCACTTGGACACCTCTCAGTGGAGCCCTAATCATGCTTCATTTCAAGTCCTTAGGATTAAGCCAGGGTCTTCCCCTGTGTGCCATTTCTTTCCTGCTGATAATCTTGTATGGGTTCCAACCTCCACTTCTGTGTAACACTTAATGCAGCACAGTGTTTGACTATAAAAATAAAGGTCAATGTTCTTCGGAACTTGTTGATTTTTCTAGCTCCCTAAACTACGTTCGAACATATTCTCTTACGTTTTATTCCGCTCGTCTGTGTCTGGGCAGTGAAGACTCTCATCCGTATGGATAGTTCAACGAGTTGATTAATTCACGTCAAGAAAAACCGCAAGATAAATCTTGCAATTACAATTGCAAGATAAGCATGCGAAAAAACAATTGCTTCTCTTATCCTCTCTTTGAAGCTAGTCAAATGGTTCAGTGCCTATGGAAGTATGCATTTTTTTTTTTTTAAACTGAACACTGAAGATGGGCAGGGCACTAAAATTCCAGCAGTTCCTGAAGGAATAAAATGATCTATGAGACCTTTCACATGGGAAGATACGTCTACTGTCCACAGTTTTCATAATCACATATGTAAGCATGGTTAATCACATGAAACACCAATAATTGAGAAAATTTAAATATAAATTTAAACTTGATGTAATATATTGATATTTTAATTTCTAAGGTCTTCTTTGATCAGACCATGTAAGTCTGCCTAATGCTTTAAAGGAATGAAGAATGATGACTGAAACCTTATGTCCAAAACCCAGTTGGAGCTAGCATGACGACTGCTGTAACTGTACTAGAACAACTTAGTTTTCTAACTTTAATGAAAACAATATTTGAAAACATTCTTCATATTTTCTTGTAAATGTTAAAAGTACAACACCAGCCCAAAGATTAAGGTCCAGCCCATTATGAAAGTCTTGGTGTTCTGGAAGAATCATGCATGAGATTTTGCTAGAGAATTCTAGCAAGCAATGTAGGTGGGATGCATGCACATTAGTAGGCTAGAAAATTCTAGCTATAATATCATATAGGTTTGTTTGCTAGAAAAATATAGAAGCAGTGGGCAGTTGTAGAAAGAATTAGAAGATTAGGTTCCATGTAAAGCCCATGTTGGTGGGCAAGGGGAAAGTCAGCAAGCCCACCTATAAATATGGGGGTGGTGTTGTAAACTTGTAATCAAGAAGAAATAAGAGAGCAAACCAAGAGAGAGTTAAGTAAGAGACTAAGAAGCCTTGTAAATGAGTAGTCTTGTGAAGAGTGTGAGTGGTTTAGAGTGTGTCTCTAGAAGTGATAGAGTGTCATAACTTCTAAAGTGTGTCCTTGAGAGTGTGTGTTGTAATATTTTGTGTGTTTAATTGTTTACTTATTTTGTCTCTCTAGTTAGAGTTGTGTGCTCTAAGTTTTCCTTAACAATTGGTATCAGAGCTACGATCAGAGACCGTCTCTAGTGAAGCTTCCAAGAATCGTGAGTAGTACTTTGCAAGATTGTTAGTTAATCTTGTTCGGCGTATCGACGTTCTGCCAACACGATGAGTGACTTTCAAGTCGTTGGAGGAATTAAGAAGTTGAACAACAAAAATTACAACACGTGGGCGATGTGTATGGAGTCTTACCTACAAGGCTAAGATTTTTGGGAGATTGTCGACAGTAATGAAGTTACGCAGCCGGAAGAAGACGCTAGTGATGCTCTGTGGAAGCGGAAGATCAAGGCAGGGAAGGCCATGTACGCCCTAAAAACCACAATTGAAGAGGACATGTTAGAGTACATAAGGAAAGCCAAAGCACCGAAAGAAGCGTGGGGCACCTTTGCCACACTCTTTTCAAAGAGGAACGATACAAGACTACAGTTTCTCGATAATAAGCTATTATTAGTGGCCCAAAGGGACATGACGATTGCCCAATATTTCCACAAGGTAAAGTATTAGCTGTGAAATTTCTAAATTAGATCCTAGTGCTGACATTGTAGAATGCAGGATAAAAAGAATAATTATCCATAGGTTGAGACCCAAATATTGAGGCTTCGTTGCCATTGTACAAGGATGGCTGACCCAACCATCATTTATTGAGTTTGAGAATTTGCTTGCCAATCAAGAAGCTTTGGAAAAGCAAATGGGAGAGGTCTCGTTAAGAGGTAAGGAGGAAGCACTCTACACCAACAAAAGTAAAGGTAGCTTCAAGCAGCATGCTGGTAATGAATCTAAAAGAATGGTGACAAGGTGAAAGGTCATCAAAGAGGTGGGAGTTCTCGGCTAGAGGGAGCTCCAACGTATCACGACAACCGTGGTCAGTCCCAGAATAATAAAAGGTTTGAGGGTAAATGTTACAATTGTGGAAAGAAGGCCACATGGCAAAGGATCCTCATCTAAAAGCGGTTCGACGGATATTGAGATATGTAAAGAGTACAATTGACTATGGTTTGTTGTACAATAAAGGTGAAGACCATAAGTTGGTTGGCTATTGTGACATAGATTTTGCAGGGGATCATGACACTAGGAGATTGACCATTGGGTATGTCTTTAGAATTGGGTATGGAGTAGATTCGTGGTGTAGCAAGAGACAACCAACAGTGTCTTTGTCAACCACGGAAGCAGATTATAAAGCAGCAGCAATGGCAGCATCAAAAGAATGCATGGTTGGTATAGTTGATGAGTGATCTATATCAACCAGTAGATTATGCAGTACCATTGTACTGTGATAACCAATTGGCAATTAGCTTGGCAGAAACTCCAGTCATTCATGTGAGAACTAAGCATGTGGAGGTACACTATCATTTCATTAGAGATCTTGCTAAGATAAGACAGATCAATACAGATGATCAAATTGTGGACTTGTTCACAAAAGGTTTGAGTACCGGCATGTTCGAAAGGTTTCGTTGTCAACTCAACGTGGAGAAAAAAAATGAGCTGGTGTTGAGAGGGAGTGTTAAAAGTACAACACCAGCCCAAAGATTAAGGTCCAACCCATTATGAAAATCCTGATGTTCTAGAAGAATCATGCATGGGATTTTGCTAAAGAATTCTAGCAAGCAATGTCAGTGGGATGCATGCATATTAGCAAGCTAGAGAATTCTAACTATAATATCATATAGGTTTGTTTGCTAGAAAAATCTAGAAGCTTGTAACAAATGTGTCATAAGCAAAAACCCATGTCGGTGAGCTGTTGTAGAAAGAACTAGAAGATTAGTTTCCATGTAAAGCCCATGTCGATAGGCAAAGGGAAAGTCGGCAAGCCCACCTATAAATATGGGTGTGGTGTTGTAAGCTTGTAATCAAGAAGAAGTAAGAGAGCAAACCAAGAGAGAGCTAAGTAAGGGAGTGAGAAGCCTTGTAAGTGAGTAGTCTTGTTTTAAGTGTGAGTGGTTTTGAGTGTGTTTCTAGAAGTGAGATAGTGTCATAGCTTCTAAAGTGTGTCCTTGAGATTGTGTGTTATAATATTTTGTGTGTGTAATACAAGTAATTTGTTTACTTGTTTTGTCTCTCCAACACTTGTGTTAGAGTTGTGTGCTTTAATTTTTCCTCAACAGTAAATACTTATGACTTTAAAGATATAAATTTACTTTTCACTTCTGCATTCAAGCAGTCACATATATATAACATATATTCAACAAGATCATAATAAATAACTGAAAATGATTCAAACTTATAATACAAAACTCACGAACCAGCCGAAAACAATATAATAGTCTTAGTGACTTAACTCCAAAATGAATGCAAAAGAGAACTAACTAAATTAGAAAACATGAATCTCCCACTAATCCAATGAATCAAAATTGAAAACTAAGCCAACGTTCTTCGCATGCATATGGAACGCTACATTAGGAATAGTTTTATTGAGTGGATCCGCCAACATTGATTTAGTATCAATGTAATCTATTTTGACTTGCTGCTTTTTGACTTCCTTGCGAATCATCTTATACTTAAGATTCAGATGTCTAGTTCTATTAGACCTTTTCTTATTCCGAGCATGGAAAATAAACGGCTTTGTTATTGCACCATAAGTGTATAGGCCTAACAATCGTTTCGATAACATTCACGCTAGATATGAAGTTCTTCAACCACACAGCTTGTTAAGTGGCTTCATACCAAACTACATACTCAGCCTGCATAGTAGATGTATCAACTTCCTGTCTTTTGACATAACTCCTCCGGCGAGCACGAAAACATAGCTGGAAGTAAACTTGAGAGAATCTGCACACCCCGTAAAATCCGAATCCGAGTAGTCAATCAACTCAAGATTGTTGGTCCTTTTATAACTGAGCTTATAAGTCTTAGGCCCTTTCAAATATCTCATACTCTATTTGCAGCCATCCAATGAGTGAAACCTTAGATTAATATCTAGACAAAACATCAATTGCTTGAGCAATATCAGGTCTAGTGCACACTTGTGTGTACATGAGTCTGCCTATAAGAGAAGCATAATGTCTTCTAGCCATCTCTGCCATTTCAATTTTAGTTTGGGGGCATTGGAATTTACTTAGCTTGTTTGCCTTTTCCATGAGAATGTCACAACCATTGCAATCCTGCATGTCAAACCTTTTAAGAATTTGTTCAGGTAAGCTTTTTGAGATAAGCCAAGTATTTTATTCTTCCTATCTCTAGTGATTTCTATCCCCAAAACATAAGATGCCTCCCCTTTGTCTTTCATCTCAAATTTATTAGACAAGAAAAGCTTTGTCTCATGGAGTAGGGTAAGATTGGTGCTAACTAGCAATATGTCATCTACATAGAGGACCAAAATTACAAAATTCCTCACATTGAGTTTTAGATATATGCACTTGTCAAAAGGATTTTCAATGAAACCACAATCTTGGATAACTCAATAAAATTTCAAATACCATTATCTTGAGGCTTGTTTCAAATCATAAACGGATTTCTTGAGCTTACATATCAAATTCTCTCTTCTTTCTTGAATGAAACCTTTAGGTTGCTTCATGAAAATTTCTTCATCTAAATGTCCATTCAAGAATACGGTTTTTACATCCATTTGGTGTAGAAACAAGTCAAAGTGAGCTACGAGTGCCATTATGACTCTAAATGAATCTTTGGTACAAGTTGGAGAGAATATCTCATTGTAGTCAATTCCTTCCTTTTGTATAAAACCCTTGACTACTATTCTAGCCTAAGATCACTCTATGTCTCCCTTAGAATCTCTTTTGGTTTAGAATACCCATTTACATACTATAGGCTTGCACCCTTTTGGTAATTGGACCAACTCCTAAACTCCATTTTTGCTCATTGATTCGACTTCATGGTTTTCAACCACTCTTCATTTTGTAAACTAGTCATGACTTCTTTGAATGTAATTGGAACAAGCCCTCCCAGTTTAAATTCAGATTCTTGAAGATAAGAAGAAAATCATCCGGTATTGCAGGCTTTCTAGTTCTTTAGAATTTTCTTAAATTGGTTTTGGTTGTCGACATTGTTAGCAGGGGCTATAGGCTCATTCGCTTGAATTGATATGTCATGATCATCACGTGTTATTTCTTACTACTCATTTTCTACGTGAGCATTAGTGGGACTTCCTCACTTGCTATCATGGTGGGGACAACAACAATATCCTCTTCTAGAACAACCTTTTGTTGATTAACTTCCTTTTATTCTTCAAAGCTTAAGCTTTCAACCTCTAAATCACCAATAGACTCTTCAGTAAACTTAGCTCTCCTAGATTCAATAAATCTTGTGGTGTGATTTGGATAATAAAACCGATAGCCTTTGCTTCTTTTCGGGTATCCAATGAAGAAACAACTAATGGTTCTTGGGTCCAACTTTTTCTCCAATGGATTATAAGCTCTTGCTTCTGTCTTGTAAACCCCAAACTTTTAGATGAAATACACTTGGTTTCTTCTTGTACCATGATTCATATGGAGTGCTTGGAATAGATTTGCTGAGAACTCTATTTAAGATGTAGTTCACTGTCCTTGTAGCCTCACTCCACAAAACATTGGCAACCTTGTGCAACATATCATACTCCTCAAAATATCTTTATGAGATCTATTTTGTCTTTCTGAAACTCCATACTGTTCAGGTGTTTCACGATTAGTATACTGTGCTACAGTGCCATTCTTATCCAAAAATGGTGCAAAAGGTCCAGGACGATGGCCAACTTCATCATACTTGCCATAGTATTCCCTACCTCTATCAGATCTATCAACTTTGATCTTTAAATCCAATTTGTTTTCCACTTTAGCTTTATATATTTTAGGGTGAAGTACTGATTTAATCCCTGAACTCTCACCTCAGTGAAAGTTAAGTCCTTAAATTCATTAAAAATTGCTAATTTCATCCCTACTATTATATTCAAAGCTATTTTATCCAATTTTTCATCAACTTAAGTCAATTGACACACTTTAGAGTATAATACCATCATTTTCTCGCCTATAAACCCTTAACATTTCATATAGATTGCGAATCTAATGTCTAATTTACCCTCCGAAGTTAACTTACACTATTTCTTTATGAAAAACTACCAATTCACCCTCCAAAGTTAACTCCATACATTGTTTCTTTATGAAAAATTACCAATCTACCCTTCAATGTATATCACATGCAAGTAACGTGGCTTAAATTGACGGAAAATTGAATATAGTAGCTTCGAATATAATATTAGGGATGTAATTGGTAGATTTTTATAATGCGATGATTGATTTTTCTGAAAAAATAGTTTAGCGACCTAATTTTCACTAAGGTAATAATTTAAAGACTAAATTGGCAGTTCATCCTATATTTTAAAAGCTTCAAACGCAGCAGATTTTTCAGCCAAAAAATACACATGTGACCATACCTAGAATAGTCATCTATGAAGGTGATGAAATACTTAAAACCATCATGTGTTAGTGTAGGAACAAATAACATATGTCAGTGTGAATAAGTTCCAGCAGATTTTGGCTTCTAATTGCATCCTTTTTCTTGGTGTTAACCATTTTTCCTATTATACATTCAACACAAACATCCATGTCTTGATAATCAAGTGGTAGCAAAATTTTAGTTTTTTTAAAGTTGCATTTGTTCCTTTGATATATGTCCTAAACGCTTGTCATAACTTGGATAAAGTTTCATTGGTTGAATCATTCTCTTAATTCTTAGTGTTCATGGAGACAAAAGGAACCTTGCAATTTAACTTAAACAAATCACTTCCAATAGAATACAACTTATGACTAATATCAAAACCATTTTCATTAAAATTCGGAAAAAAACTTATTCTTAATGAGTTTGCTAATAGAAACCAAATTTCTTCTCATGGAAGGTGTGGAGCCTAAAATAATTCAAAAAATTCTAGAGGCGACATGTGGGCTTTTATTCAAGAAAGACAAGATTGCCCTCAATAAATGGGCAGGCTTCTTAGATGCTCCCACGCGCAGCTCACATTCCTGAAGGTCTCAATAGCTAAATACGACAGCCCACAACTCACCTGCCCTTGGCAAGGAATTAAAGATAAGGATTAATTGCCCAAATCCTATCTTTAATACATTCCCATTTGAAGATTGACTCCAATCAAGTAAGTAATCCTAATTTAAATAAAGTAGGGATAATTACACCATTATCTCAAAATATAATTTCCTATTAAATATCTTGGGAATATTTAGAGAATATCTCTCCATTAAACACTATGGCCGGCCCTATCCCTATAAATACCCCATATTCTACCAAATTTTCA